CCCCGGATTAATCAACCCCCGGTTTATTAACAGGGGGTTGTTCCCCACAAAAGTGATGAACCTTTGTATTGATAAACTGGGGTTGATTAATCCGCGGCTGCATAGCCGACACAACCCCCCCCGCCAATGTTTGGATGGTGGTTTGGATGGCTTAGTCCTTTGCTTCTTGGTATACGAGCGTGTCTGAAAATAGGAATCATACCCCTTTAAAGTCCTTTTAAACCCCCCACCAAAAAGCCCACCAAACTAAAAACACAAAAAGCACCCCATGTGGCGAAACTTTTGGACTCAGACAATTTCCTCGTGTGGCCACCTTCCTTTAGCGTGGGTTTCAAGGGGTTTGATGTCTGCCAAACAGCCACGTGGCCACGGCACAAAGTGGACCTCACGTTTTGTAGGCCTGGTTTTCTTTTGGTGTCCAAGTATGAAAATGGCGGGCGTCCCCAAAACCGACTTATAGTTAGGTCTCAAAACTTCGAACCACTCGCTGTGGCCAACTAGAACGGGTTTCGGTTCCTGGCGGAAGTCTGAGGGACCAAACATCTGGGTGAATAGCGACCTCACACGACCGAATTCACGACCCAAATGGCGGTTTATGTGGGGAATATCCCCCGAACCACCCACTGCAAGCTTCAGCTTGGTGAACTATTGTAATTCACCTGGAAACATAAACAAAACACCAACTCTCTAAGGTGCGTCTCCTTGAAAACATGCAGTTCTAACGGATAGGATGCACGTTGGTTTTGTGAGAGCGTCTCGTTTTCGATGGGGATCTGAACTGTGAGGATCATTGGAGCTGCATTGTTGTTGTCTACAGCTGGGCGAAAGTAGTGGGTACCCCGGATTCATAAACCCCAGGTTGGCTCATAGGGGGGGTGTCTCCTTTTTGGTACGGCTTACATCCCCCCCTCATAGGGGGTGTCCCCTTTCAGGGCTACCTCATTTTGGAGGGATCCCCCCCATCATAGGACGGGTTAGATTCGGGGTCAACAGTACTCTGGACAAGCCGTGGCGAAGGTCCCATAGCAATGTGCCCGGAACTTTGGTGCAGCCCCTCACATGAGTCTGTGCACAGTTGGGTGTGTGCAGTGGAGTCTTGGAGTTTGCGCCATAGTGGGGTGGGTCTGCGCACAGTTGGCACGACTTTTTCAGATCGTTTTCATCATTTGTTTGCAGAGAGACCAGGAGGAAATCCAAGACTCTTTTGGGTTCGCCCTATTTTGACATCACATGTTAGCCACAATTCCTGGAGGAACCTTCTTGTTGGAGGATCTTTTTTGTGTTCCCTCCAATCATTTGCAAGTATGGTGTTCTCAGAATCATTTTTGGGTCCCGGTTTCCCTTTACACTTAAAACCACACTTTCGCTAGGGGATTTCACTTGGATGTCAGTCTCATACAAAACCCTCCACTTGGAGGCCTTGAGGAAACCTTCCAAAGACCTAATTTCCCTGATTTCTTGGCGGAAAAGCTCCCCTTTCTTTCATGGGTTTCCTTTTTTTTCCCCGTTTCGGGTGAGATGGTGACTTCCGTAGACTTCCGTAGGACTCAGAGGGCGAGGGCGAGGGCAAGTCGAAGCTGGTGCTGCCGGGGGTGGCCATGACGGCCGCCTTTATGATTTCCATCATCCAGCACGCCGTGCTCAACTGAGCCCCGAGCAAGCCCCTTCCAGGCGCGCATTGGGGGGGGGGGGGGGTTGGGTTGGGTGCGGGTGCGGGTACTGGAGGCCGGCAAAGTTTCAAAGCGGGGCTTGTTGTGGACCTCAAGGAATCCAGGAAAACCGGGGCAGGCCCAAGGGGCCTCGCCCAGTTTGAAGGATGACCCATCCCTGTTTCACGGTGATTCATGGCTGCAATCAATCGCCCCTTTCGCCCTAGAAAAGGCTGGCGGGTGGATTTTTGGAAGGCTTCCCGGGCTTCTCCCATACCGGTTGCTGATTTCTGTAGGTTCTGTAGGTTCTTCCAAGTTTTACAGGTCGGATAGGGAATCTAAAGTCGGGTGCTGCTTCAACCGATTTCATTGGTTGCGACGCTTCTCCTTTCAAGCACCTTCTGGTCAATGAGGGGCCAGGGTCTTCCTTTTGCGATCGCCTGCGTGTCAAGTTGAAAGTCCTGCCCAGAAAACGCCCGCAAAACCCAAAATCCACCAAGAAGACAGGGCGGATTGGCTGAAGGGTGCAATGACTTCTGTGTTTTGGAGACACACCCACGTGCTTGAAAATGTGGTAGGTCGTGCAGGGTGTGCAAGTGGTGATGATAAAGCGATCAGGCCCGCAGGCAAAAAGGACCGCTTTGAGAATGGAAACTCAGAGGGTTGAGGCTTCGCACTTTCGCAAGTCAAGATGGCGCCCACAAAGACTCCTTCTTAGAAGACACTCCTTTTGGGGGCAAGGCCCTCCTTTCCCTTGTTTTGCTTTGCCGGTGTAAAAACTGATGGTGTGATGAGAAACTGGGAGCGCCCAACCCTCCAGTCATGAGGCTCTCTTCGAAGGTCTTCCCGAACCCCACGCAGACATCACATAGCCGCGGTTTGGCGAACTCCAATTCCGCACTGCGACAGTTTGCCGCAGCTTCCAGCTTCTTCCACAGAGGCAATCTGTTTTTTTGAAGTGCTGTCAAGTGGAGGGCTGTGAAGTGATGCGTGTTTTTGAAAGGACTTTGAGTCTTTGAGTTCCGCGTTTGGGATAAAATCTCACACGCAATCAAATCAGCTTTGAAGTCCAGTCCGACTCACAGCTTCATTCAGCGGCGAGAAAAAGCCTGCGCAGGGGTCTGGTTCGAGAGGGATACAAGCTGACAAAGGCGCAAATTCACCACACGACACTTGGGTTCGTGTTTTACAGGCTCGGTACCCTTTTTACCTTGGTGTTGAAGGCAAACCAAATAAAGCAGGAAACCCCGAAGCTTTTCGGGTCCTCCTATTTTGAGACAAGTCCATTTGTTCCCCTGTTACACAATCTCCCAAATGCAGAACTCGGGGAGCCAGCCTCTTCTCGCGAACATTGACATCTTCCTTTAAGTGCACTTCCGAGGAATGCCGCGCACTAAATAGCTTGCTTGGGTGTTCGATTCGCCAAGTTAGTAAGATGTTGGTAACCTTTCGGGTTATACCTCCCACTTCTTGCAGCCTCCTTAAGTGGGGGTAACCTGGTCATTAGTGGGTTATAACTTACAACCTCAGGCGGCGTTGGTCACTTACGAACTTGGCGAATCGAACATCCAAGTAGGAAGGGCCTTTACCACGGGAGCCTCAGTCTAAGGGTGGAAGTACATACCCCTTGTTCATACCCCTTGGCTTCCGTGGTTTCCAGCCCACTTCATAAGGAGTACCCCTTTTGGGGAGAGGATATGGGGGTTCCCCTTTGTCCAAGGGGTACGTAGAAGTTTGGTACCTTGGCTCCCCTGGGCTCAGGGATTCCGGGATCCAAGTGGGGCCCGGAGCCAGCTTAGTGCTTGCCAGGTAGGGCATGTGGCCGGCCATCACTTTAGCGCATGGATTGGGTGCCCTTGGCCCGGGCCGAGCTCAGTGAATCCTTTTCGAAGAGTCTTTGTTGCGCATGTTGCTGCGCTCTGAGTTTGGGCCCCCGATCTTTACCCGTGCCGGGTTTTTTGGGGAGTGGCTGCCCTTTCCATCAAATTTGCGGTACGTTGACAATGTTGCCCTCCCACCCTTTTCGCATGGAACCTGACGTTCTTGGGTCCCGAAAGACCATTTTCCCTTTAAAGGGTCCATTTCTCTGTCAGGTTCCATGTTACTTGGGGAGGTTAGCATATCCCTCTGTTCAACACTTATGACCGGCTTGGTTTGCCGGATGTCAGGCCAACCGCGCCGAGACGATCCTTCGGCGCCCGGATGTCAGGCCCCGGGCAGTGGGGAAGTTGGACGGCTGCAAGTGTCGGCCAAGTTGCGATCGTTTTTTTCAGTCACTGTTGCGATCGGTTTTTGGGGTTTTGAGTGCATGGAAAAAAAGCGATCGCAACTGGCGATCCAGGGTTCGTGTCCTTTTAGGTTTCCCTTCAAAACCATCCCAGAAAGGGGACCCCCTTCCCCTCGAGAAGGTGGGCGGTGGCGGTGGCTGCCCCCACCCATTTGGCCTTCATGTTGTGGTGTGGGGTTCGTGGCGAATGGCCAATGCTTCGTCTGGGGCTTCGGCTTCCATTGAACGCCGACGCCGATCGGAGCCTCCGGGTGCAAAACAGGTGAGAGTGGTTTGCTTCTCTCTCTCTCTCGCATTTAATTTCCTAGGTGGCCAAGTTGCTGCTTTCTTCAGTCACTGTTCCTGGTTTTGGGGGGTCTGAGTGCATGGAAAAAAGCCGAAAACGCACCTGGCGATCCAGGTGGTTTTGAAAGGCAAGCCAGGAAGGCCCCCCAGCCACTGAAGCCGCCGTTCCCCCGAAAAGAGACGCTCCCAGGGTCCCAGGCTGCTGGGCGTAAGATCTCCGGATTCGTGGAAGATGGGCTGCAGGGGGCGCCAGCGGCGCCGACACGGAGACCGTGTCCCCGGCAAAATCCTCCGGTGGAACAGACAAACGAGCTCTGAACATAGTCTAGGTCCCCCAGCAATTGGTGCCAACTTTCTCACCTTTTTTTGGGGGGGGGCTTTTTTTGGTTCGGGGGGTTCCCCTACTAAAATAGACTACAGCAAAAAGTGGGTACCCTTGTTCTAACCTCTCTACTGGAGGACCTAGTAGTGGCTTTTCAGGTTCCATATTACTCAGGAGTGTAAATGACCGGCCGGCATCAACTTCTGGGAATGACTCGATTCGAAGCACACATTTTGGTGGTTGGTGCTACACAATTCAATGTGACCCAAAATTAAATAGAATTGCTCAACATCCACTTGGATGAATCCAGGGGAGGAATCCCCTTGCGCTTCATTTTCCACTGTAGTCCGCACGTACCTCTATCACGACTGCTTTGTTGGTCGCACTGTCCAGAAAAGATGCCTCGAGCAAGATTTCACAGCTCCAAACTTTTTAGCCGGGCTGGTGTTTCGGTGCCATGAATGCACTGGGTGCGCTGATGTGTCCCAGCAAGCCGGATGCGGACTTGCGGGCAGATGCGGCGGAGTTGCCCAAGTTTCCAGACTCTGAGGAATGCTCCCCGAGCCTCTCCGAGGTGTCGACATGGACAACCGAGTCCGACTCTGAGGTGTCTGGGGCTTCAAAGCAAGAACTGCGCAGGCGCCTTCAGCAAGGCCAGCTGAGCAGCTTCTTGCAGTGGCACGAGTTCCAGGCGGTGAACAGGCCGAGATCTTGCGGGTTCACACTTTTTGGCGAGAGCAAGATCTTCCCCATCCATGTGGCCGCGCAGAGCGGAGACTACCAGATGGTAAGGATCCTAATGGCATCAGGCGCTGACCCAGAATCCAAGACCTCCAAGGGCCGCAAGGCGGTGGACTTTGCTCGTGCGGCAAATCGATATGGCTCGCACGAGCCGGTGCTTTGCTTGCTCACTGGCCAAGTCAAGATCGGCACAGCTCGAGAGCTGCGCAGCGTGAGCACGGAGAGCTTTTAAGCGCAGTCTGTGAACTGTACTTGACCTGTTGAGTTGACACACGTTAAATGTTTGGCTGGTAGAATTCTTGAAGCCATTTGGCTGTGGCTCAAAAAGATGTACCAAAAAATTGGCATTTTGGTAGGTGGAACCAAAGACCAAAAATTGCGCGTAGCCCTAGCTCTTCAATTTTGAGCCCCAGCCATTTATGTCAAGGCCTAGACACCTTGCACTTTGGGCTTCCGGACCGTAGCCATTCCGAGTCGCAGCACTGAGTGCCTGGGTCTGAATTCAGTGGCCGTGCTTCGCAGTAACTCTCGGCTCTGATTTGTAGGTTCCTCCATTTTCCTTGTTGGAACCTCCAAAAGTGCGAGATCCCACCAGATTGCAACTTTGAAAGGGGAAATCCAGGCAGCCCCTGAATTCCTTGATGTCCAAATGGGAAATTGGATGGAGCTAAAGGCCTTGATTGCCTTGGCTCGAGTTTTGACGGCGATCTCGACACGGCGTCTTCCAGAGACCAGCGACTTTGAATCCGAGCAAGACTTCCTTGAAGGTGAAACACCCACATTGTGGGCCGATCTGTGTGCGTATGATTGTCAAGGCATCTTTCTTTGAGAGGAATGCAAACGCCGGACAAGCTTTGGCTGCGTCACCCAGTGCAGCTTGCGGGGTACCTCTTCGGAGGGGACCCCACATTGGTTTTTTTCCCAGATTGCTTCGTAAGGTACCGAGCAAGCATCTGGGTTGGTTATTTCTCCCGAACAAGCCCACTCTTACCAGGGTGCCGTCGTTTTTTTTTGTTCATGTGAGCCACAATCAAAACCCGGGTAGATGAAGGTTAGTAAGGGACGATCCTAACCATAGGCAGGGAATGAGGGAATGACCCCCATAAGCCAGCCCTATGGTTATCCCCTTCCGGTTCATTCCCAAAACCCTGCGTCATTTCATTCCCTACTCAGCAAGCTTTGGAATTGCTCTTTTCCAGGAAGTGTTCGTCCATTTGGAAGGCACACTAATTATATATCCATCGCCAGTTTCCGAAGCTGCGTCTGAAGCATCTCATCGAGTCTGCTCGGGAGATTTGGTGCTCTGTCTTCCTAATTAACCGGAACCAGACAAGAGAGACACAACAACACGGGCTAGAACCACATTTTGCGACTTAGTGCGTGAGGTAATATGCAGGAAGTCGCAGAAGCTGGCCGGGTGAGGATGCACAGCGATGAACCTTCTCTCGATCACGTCAATGTCACAAGCAAGTTTCAGGGTTTCCTATACACCTTTTGGTTTTGAACATCACTTTTGGGGCCAACTCAACGTGAGCTTCCTTTTTGGTGATGTCCAACCGGGAAATATGGGGAGCCCTGAGTCTTGCAGGAATTTAGCACAGCCAGCAACGGTGCCGACAAGCTATGGCCTCCCCGCTCCATTCGCACACGCAGTCTTGCTCGAACTGTGCGTGTCCAGAGTACGCCCATGAACTGTAAAGAAAGACCAAATCAGGCTTGTTTGTCTGGAGCCGGAGGCCATACTCTTGGCTTGTGCTCCGACTTGTGCGGAAGTAGATAGAAATCCGCCCCGAGGCCCAAGGCAGTCCGAATGGGGAAGTTGAAGAGTTGTTTTCGAAGGCGACCTTACCCAGCAGCTGGTGGTTGAATCGTCTACCAGGGATATCCATCTATTTCCCCTAAAATAACATCTATGTTGACGACCTTCCCCAGCTGTGCCAATGCCCCTTCTTGTCTTCAGGGCCGAAGGCGGTGGTATGCAGTTTGCTCGTTGCTCCAACGTAAGGCCGAGCCGCCCCATCAAGGTTGCGGTGGGTTTCATCCTGCCAACCACCGGGATCTCCGGTGGAAACCTTCAAACCGTGGGGTGTCTTCATGGCCGACGAGCTGAGTTTGACCGTGTGCAGCTGCGAGCTTAGCTTCAGATGCGAGACCTGAGATCCGAACTCGAGTCCAGAAATCCATGCAGCGACTCGGTTCTGCGTGTCGAGCAGCCCGTAAATGCTTGTTTCCCTAAGAAAACATGGGTGAAGCAGGACGTTTGTTGCGTGAAAATATTGAATTTCTAGTTGATTGAAGGGGATGTTTTTTTCCAGACCCCAGTGTCTTAATTTTTCCAGACCTCATTTCTCAGCTGCCTTCAATTGGTGATTTGTATTGGTGGTTTGGTGGTGTGGTTCCCCATTGCCCTCTACAAGAACCTCACTTAAGGGCAGTCTGATATGTGAGGGATATGGTCAGTACCCCCCTAGTTCCCTCCACTTAACCATAGTAAACCTGCCCGCTACGCACAATACCCACTGCTGTTTTTTAGGGTACGATGTCGATCCTTAACTAAAAATTAGGTATTTTCATCGGAAACCAGGTTTTCCAAAAAGCCCCAGTCGGTACGTGGGTGTGAGGTGTAATTAGGCATGTGATCGTTCTGGTAACGTTTGGTGTCTGACCCTCTATAGGCTTGGATCCATGCTTGTTTTTTTGAGGAGACCCGCGTAAAAACACTTCCCCGACATGTGGAAGTTGGTATGGTTCCGTCGAAAGCGAGTCCCTGCCCTAGCACTCTTACCTAAGCCTTCCGACGGATCAATTGGGTTGCTGCTGCAAGAACCCTGCCTTGATAGCCAAGTTGCTGCTTTTTTCAGTCACTGTTGCTGGTTTTTGGGGCAAGTGCATGGAAAAACTGGCGATCCAGGTGCTTCCTGGGGTGTCTTTTTGTGGGTGAAATGGGTTCCAGCAATACTGTGGATGGACGAAATCCTGCGGACGGAAGGTTTGGACTTGGAAAGGCAGTTGCTGGAGGTGGAGGTCTGGTAAAAGCCGAGCACGGCCGTCCTTCCTTTCGCAGCTGGGTTGCTCAGAACAAATCTTCGTGCCAGATGGGTTCCATTGGTTCCAGTGCAACAGCCCCCCCCAGTTCCTGGACTTTAAACACTTTTTTGTTTTTTTTGCGGGGGGGAAGTTTGAGTGGCATGCGATTGAGACTGATACTCCCAGGTCCCTCTTGCGACACCTCCCAAAAACCATGCGATTTCGAGGCTGAAAAGCGCATCAAGATAAATCCCCTGCGTGCGACTGATCGTGTCCAAATGAGATTGGTTTTGCTCGAAAAATAGATGGCGATTCCTGGTTGACCTGGTGGTTTAATCATCTACCAGGGCCATCTATTTCCCCTAAAAGGACACCTATGGTCACTAGTTTGCACCCAACAATCCAGGCAGGAAGGGCTACTGTTGGAAAGATGTCAGGCTGCAATGGTGCCCCTTGCTATGGCCCTGAATCAGCATCATATATGATCGGTGGGGATTGTAAACGGATGTTCAGAAGTCAGGCGATTAGGAATTTGAACAACCCAGTCGAGTTGCTACCAATAGCAACTCAATGCATTTTAGCTGGCGGCCTCTCAAAGTCTCCAAGATTGGAGCATTGTTGGAGACACGCCAAGACTAAAGCGACAGGTTGAGCTGAAACCCAAACAGACATAGCGAAGTCAAGTTTTTTCTTTTTTCTCAAGGCTGTAATCCTAGGAAATCTGGACAAGTTTATGAAGCTAGTTCCCCTTTTTTGCGGAACTAGCGAGTCTGGCTGGGGGTTGCGTACCTTCAACTCCAGGCTTGCTAGTTGTGCTCTCCGATGGGGTAACTTCATGGCTCCTGGCGCTGAGTGCTTGGCGGATAACAAGTTGCTTCGTTTCTCGTGTGCCCAGCTGATGTCTCACGGGCAGAGCCAACCAAATCCCTCTGGCAGCTGTGTGCAAGGCAAAGAATCCGGTAACCCTTGGTTGGGTGCTTGGGATGGGCGGTTTGGATATTGAACCCAAATACCTGGTTCTAGATCACTGGGGCTTCCCGCCCGCTAACCACCTAACCAATCCAAGCCACCAATCACAGGGAAGCAGAACTACATGGTTGTAGTTGGGGCACATCTTACATTTTTGCTTATGGTTGAGTGGTTGAAATCCAACCACTGAACTTCTGAACTGCTGAGATCTGAGAATTCTTGCTCCAACGTCAACGAATCAACGGGACGGCTCCAGACCTCATTTGTTTCGGCAAAGGTCTCGGCTCCACGCCGGGCTCGACTCAAAAAAGCTCCCGAGCTGTGTCGGCACTGGCTCGACTCGCTAGGGAAGCACCGAGTCAGAGAGTCAGGGAATGAACCCCGGGCCTGGGGCGTCGTTTTTTCTCTTTTTTGCAGGAAACCATCAGAACAACTCCTTCCGAGTCGTGGGAGAAAACTCTGTCCTGGTATGGAAAGCCGTTGTGAAGCGTGGTTGGTGCACCCCTGGAGACCATCCGTAGGGTTTCAAACTCGGCTGCAACTCATTCCCTGAGCAGCCAGGCGAGGGCACCTTCGTTGAAACCAACGAGGGAGCATCCCGAGGATAAGCCATGCTTCGCTTTCGAAACCCCTCGGTGGCCCCTGAATTCCTTGGTTCTAGGGGTTGATTCCCCATTCTTTTCAGCCATCGTTCTTTTCAAAAACCAGCCATCTCCCCAGGGTTTTTTGGTGGTTTCTAGAAAGAAGGATTCCTGAAAAGAATGGGGAAGCTGACCAAACAGGAAAATGGTTGGAGCACAAGGCCTGGATTGCCTTGGCTCGAGTTTTGGCGGCGATCTTGACACGGCGTCTTCTAGAGACCAGCCATTTGCGAGGCCCATTCTGAAGAGAATTGAAGCTAAACCATGAACCAGTGAACCCTCAAACCCTCAAACTTCCTTGACCGTGGGTTGGTATTTTGATACTCAAGGCATCTCTTTCAGAACACGCATGGTGCCAAAAATGCATCGACTGCGTCACTCTCGACGGAGTCTACCTTATATATATATATATATATTGAGGCGTGCAGTTTTCATAGCCAACGCTTCCTGACCGGCGCTCATTTTCCGTTCTGATGAAGTTCCGGCGACGGGATGCTCGGACGACCCAAACCTTTGCTCTCTTTTTTTTTCCGCATAGGAGGTTGGGGTTTCAGACGAGATGGCAATGGCTCAAAATCATGTACCAAAATGGCACTTTGGTAAATGAAACCAAAGACTAATGTGTAACCCTGGCTCTTTATTTTTGAGCCACACCCAGATTCGAAGCCCCGAATTCAGAGGGTCCTTTCAGGTGCCAAGGGACCCTCTGGCTTCGAATCTGCCGAAGGCCCACTCTTCCCAACTGCCGGCGGGTCATTTTTTTTTCCCTCGACTCCAAGCGGTTCGCGGGTTCGAGCGGACAATTCGGCCGACGCCCTCCCCTTTCCCTGGTCGGATCTCCACGTGCTTTTTTTTTTCCAGGCGGGGACGCACCGTCAGTCGGAGCAAAGGTGGTTTGGTTCTTTTCAAATTGCTTTCGATAGGCACGGAATGAGGAAGGGAACGACCCCGAGATAAGCCATCCATTCGCCTTTCAGGGAATCCCCAAATCCGAGTCATTCCCCCAAAACCCGGAAGGTCATTCCCTACTGAGCACCAGCAAGTATTGAAATCGCTCTTTTGAAGGAAGTGTTTGTCCATATGGACATCGCAGGATTTGATCCCATGACATCGACGGGAGTTGGCCTTCTGTCTTTCCTAGCCCGAACTAGGCAATCAGGGACAAAACAAGAATCGGTCTTGGACAACAACATCACTTTTGACCACATTTTGGGACACCGCGTGAGTTCATGCAGGAAAAAACCGGTTTATACGTATTTAATGTCGCAAGCAGGTTTCGGGGTCCATCACTTTTTGGGCCAACCAGTTGACACAATGCTGGAAACTCGCACTGCGTTCTCACAGCTATGTTTTCAGACCCTCAAGGTGCTTTCCCGGCAGTCCAGGGCCTGGGGTTTCTAATACCAACTCCGGCCGTTTTTGGGCTCGCCCTTGGCTGGAGAAAGAGTGTAGAGAGGGAGAGAGAAAGTGACGTGGCGATTTCGGGCTGTGTTGACAGAATATGGGTGTGTCGGTTTTTAGGGGGCACCCCCAAATGTGTGTTTTGCCTTTTTGCTTTGAGCCCCAAAAGGCGGCACCAACTCCAAGAAAAAGACGCAGCCATATTTGTCATCCACTGGCAAGCAGCGTATGTTACAGCTCTCCCTGTTGATTGTTTACGGGAATCCATCACTGGACATACTGTGGATGGACGAAATCCTGCACCACCGAAGAGAACCCGGAACGATGATTACCCTCCAAATACCAACAAACAATGGTTTCCCATCGTTTCAAAGTGGTGCAGGATTTCGTCCATCCACAGTATTGTCCCATTTTTCCTAGGACTTAAGCAACTGGATGTTCCAGATGCTGCTAATAGAGTTGAGGCTGCTTACTCACAATGCTTTGGGCTGGCGGGGCCCGCTTTGCCCAGCTTAAGCCATCGACGCCAGGAGTCTTCTTTGGCTCGCCGCAAGCTCAGCCAACAGCGCAGATCCCACCCTACAGTGGCAAACCCAGTGAAGTGTCAAGTGGCACCCTTTGTCCCTTTGGGTGTCTCACTCAAAGTGGTCTGCCCCAAGGGCGTTCTTGACTCGCGTCTGCCTTTTTTCGCCCACAAGGTTGCCTTCCAGCTTGACTTGTGATAGGCTCCCTGACAAAAATGACCCTTGGGGTGGCCCCCCAAAAAACGGACACCGCCCGCCAGCCAGCCACTGTCATCGGTTTTTCTCCATAACTCTCATTTCCTGCGTCCAAGTTGACACCATTTCCGGATGTCACCTGAGCCTGCTGCTTGTGTCGGGTACTTCGGCTCCGCCTCCCCGGGAGACCTCTAAGCCTGCCTTCTGTGCCCCTTTCACCTTGAGTTGTGGCCTGTGGGTTAGCTTTGGATTTTCTCTCAGTGATATACCAGCCGGCTTGCAACATGGCATTTGTTCCAAGCTCCTACCTTGGTGTTTGGCCTGTTGTCCTGCTTTTGGTCATCACTTTCTTGCCTGGGTCCTGGGTTGCTTCTCTTTTGGGTGTGGCTAAGATTAAAGAGCTAGGGCAAATTACGCAGGCTTCGTCTTTGCTTCCATTTACCAGACCATTATTCTTGCTGGTGCTCAGTAGCGAATGAGAAATGGAATGACCCCTACAAACCATCCATCCGAGTTGGTTTTCTTTCCGTGAATCCCAAAACGGTTCATTCCAACTCATTCTCTCTCGACTTCGCACCAGGTCACCAGCTAGACTTGCCTCACGGGGCCATTTTGGGGGTGCTTCAGCGTTTTCCCCAGTATGCGGTTTGAAGGAAAAGGCCGTCTCAAAAAGACAACGGATGTGGAACAGTGATGGCTTCGGTTCTCCCTTGGGTCTCCCTTGAAACCAAGGGTGAAAAAAAGGGGTGCCCTCAACAAAGGGACACCTGGGTCGCCAGTTGTTTGGGGGGATTCCAGAAATCTTTGGAGCCGCGGCCTCCTGCGGCCTGAAATCATCTGGCTCGGGGCACCTGGCACCCGGCGCCAGGGGCAGCAGGTTGCCACCCGGAAGGCGGGGGCTGGGGCTGAGAGGTCGGAGACGTGTGCAACAAGGGGGCGCCTTGCTTTGGCTTCTGCTTGCCTTGGATTTGACGTCGGATTCAAAGGCTTGCCTTGACTTGGCTTGGTGAGTGGGTGAGGTAGGCGCGTACGGGAGTGGCGTGAAATTGCTGTGCTTCGAAGGCGTTTTGAGCTCCAGAGGGCCGCGAAGCAGGGCAAGCCACGTTCAGCACACACCGCATGCTGGAGTGGCATCTCTGGGCAGACTTGGCAGATCCCGAACTCGGAGGGTTTTGGTTGCCTCGGTGGCGCCCTTTTGTCAGTCCTTTTTTGTTGGGAAAAGGTTCCGACTCCTTTCGAGCCCGCCAACCCAAAAAGGAGGCCGATTCCTTTTTCCCCCTGGAAGGCCACTGGGCGTTTGAGGCTTGGTATCTTGAGGCGCACCTGGCCGGAGCACCCGCCATGGCGGCCGCCGTTGTGGGCGCCGGGCGCTCCTTGCTGCTGCTACGATACCTGGGCTGGCGCGGGAGGGTCGCCTTCCGGGTTCTGTGCCGCGCCACCCGCGACGGCGCGAAGCAGAACAGGGAGGCGAGGGGATGGGGGGCTGGACTTGGATGCCGAAGCTTTGGGCGTCAGAAACCTCGACTCAACCCTTTCACCCCAACTGCAAAAACCGCTGTGGACTTGTTCCGGCTGGCCCATGTGTTTTTTGCTCCCCTGGCCTGGATGCTTGAGGAGGCCAAGGCCGACGAGGACGCGGAGGTGGAGGGCATTTTGCTCGAGTTGGCGGGCACGGCCCGGCGCGCCGCTGAGTCCGCGCCGGGCGATCCGCCGCGCGAGGCCGGAGAGATGCGGAAACGCGCCCTGCGCGTCCTGGAGATCCTGCAGGTGCGGTTCTGCGACCTCCTGGGCTCTAAGGAGGACGGCAACTTCGAGGTGGAGGACCTCACGGGGCGCACGGCCAGCGAGTCCCTTGCCATGGTGGCGCAGGAGCTGGAGCGGCGCGCCGGGCTGGAGAACCGGAAGATCTGGGCCTTGGCGGCTCGCAGGGCGCTTTATGTCGCCCGCAGGGTGGAGAGGCTGCACTGCACCAGGGAGAGCGATTCCTATGCGGTGGTGTCTGTGGCAGCACGTTCTGCTTTCCTGATCCCAGAGGGCAAAGTGCCTGCACCTTGCCAATCTAGACTGGCAGTGTTTTGTTGGTTTGAGTTTCGCTGCCAATTGCATGAGGTTGTTTCTGTTTTGTCTGGACGTTGTCAGACTAAGACTTGTCAGGTACCGGTGGCCGAGCCCGGCCTGGGCTTGGAGGTCCGCGGCCTGTTCGATGAGCTGGCGAACGCGGCCCAGCAAGCCGCCGAATGGCCCGCGGCTGCGTGGCAGCCGGCGGGGCTGCGCCAATTGGCGGAGGCCATCCGAGGGCCCGCGGCACGCGTCCTGGAGATCCTCCGAGTGGAGCCGAGCGGCGACGTGGACGTCGCGGACCTCAACGGACTGGGCCCCGGGCAGCTGCTGGAGGCGCTGTCGCCGGAGCTGCAGCGGCACACCACGGCGCCCGCAGGTGGCAGCAGACCCGCTGCCGAGGCTCGGCGGGCCTGGGCCCTCACTGCCGGCAGAGTGCTCGATGTCGCCCGGCGGCTGGAGGAGGCGGGCCAGCTGGAGCCTCAGGCGGAGGCAAGTGAGGCATCCGTAGATGAGCAATCGGAGGTTGCCACGCAGCCCACGCTGGAGTCGGGGACGACGCTGGATGTGGCCGCCACTTCCGGCTGGCTGGTGCCCAGCTCGAGCGGCCGGCCCGAGATCCTTGGCCGCGTGGACGAGGAGGAGCTGGGCGGAGAGGGTGAGGTTCGCGTTGAGGCATCTCAGCGCATTGTGCTGCAGCGGCAACTCCTGCGTGCCAAAATCAGAACGTGCCCGGCAGGGCATGACCTGCATGAGCGGCAGTATCAGCTAGCAATCTGCGTCCTTTGCGAGGAAGAGCGAGGGGTGACCTTGTGTTGTTTCCAGTGCGATTGGGACATATGCCAAGAGTGCGTTGGCCTGGCTGGCCTTCCACATTCTCACGATGCAGATGAAGATGCGCCCCGAAGGGCTGTTTGGTCGATGCTAACGAGCCAAAGTAGCATGCGGCAGCGGATGGGCGATCTCCCCGGAGCTGCAGCGCTCTTGGTGGCAGCCCTGAAGCAACTGCGGCCAGGTGACCAGGATGTTGATGATCATGACGCGGCCAACAGCTTGCACTATGCTGGTGCCGACCACGTGAGCGTTGCATCAACTTTGCATGAGCTGGGCATGGTGCGGAAGCAGAAAGGTGACCTGAAGCAAGCCGAGGAGCACCTGAAGGAGGCGCTGAGGATGATGAAGTGCGTCTATGGTGGCGCCTGGAGCAAGCCGAGGAGCACCTGAAGGAGGCGCTGAGCATAAGCAAGTGCGTCTATGCTGGTGACGACAATGCGACCGTTGCGGTGACTTTGCACGAGCTGGGCATGTTGCATCAGCTGGGCAGGTTGCTGCAGGAGAAAAGGGACCTGGAGCAAGCCGAGAAGCGCGTGAAGGAGGCACTGAGGATGATGAAGTCCGTCTATGATGGTGCCGACCATGTGCAACTGGCCGTCACTTTGCATGAGCTGGGCACGTTGCAGAAGCAGAAAGGAGACCTGGAGCAAGCCCAGGAGCACCTGAAGGAGGCTCTGAGGATGGAGAAGTCCGTTTTTGCTGGTGCCGACCATGCGAACGTCGCCGGCACGTTGCATCAGCTGGGCAGGTTGCTGCAGGAGAAGGGGGACCTGGAGCAAGCCGAGGAGCACCTGAAGGAGGCACTGAGGATGACGAAGTGCGCTTATGATGGTGCCGACCATGGGCAACTGGCCGTCACTTTGCTTGAGCTGGGCACGTTGCAGAAGCAGAAAGGAGACCTGGAGCAAGCCCAGGAGCACCTGAAGGAGGCACTGAGGATGATGACGTCCGTCTATGATGGTGCCGACCATGGGAACGTTGCCGTCACTTTGCATGAGCTGGGCATGGTGCGGAAGCAGAAAGGAGACCTGGAGCAAGCCGAGGAGCACCTGAAGGAGGCTCTGAGGATGAAGAAGTCCGTCTATGGTGGTTGCGACCACGTGAGCGTTGCCGTCACTTTGCTTGATCTGGGTGTGGTGCTGAGGAGCAGTGGAAAACTGGAGCAGGCCCAGGAGCTCTTGATAGAGGCATTGAGGATGATGAAGTCCGTCTATGGTGGTGCCGACCATGTTGAGGTTGCAGTCACTTTGCATGAGTACGGCAGTTTGCTGGATCAGAAAGGTGACCTGAAGCAAGCTGAGGAGCACCTGAAGGAGGCTTTGAGAAATTAGAAGTCCGTCTATGGTGGTTGCGACCATGTGGAGGTTGCCGTTACTTTGCTTGATCTGGGTGTGGTGCTGAGGAGCAGTGGAAAACAGGAGCAGGCCCAGGAGCTCTTGATAGAGGCATTGAGGATGAACGCATCTGTGATGAGGACGCGGAGGTCTATCCTTGACCACGAACACCACGAAAGCCTGTTAGCGGCTTTGATCGAGCTGGGCGCTGTGCTGCTGCTGCGGCAGAGATGGACAGCTGCCGGGATGGTCGTGATGGTCTTTCCATTTGCATGGTCGGCGGCTTTCTCCGCCACGCTCTTGCACTTCGCAGTTCAGCTCTTGCCGGGCTAGAAGGATCAGACCTGCGCAGTTGCAAGCTCGAGAAAAGCAGCGGCAAAAGCTCGCGTGCGTCGCTAAAATTGGCGCCTGCCAAGAGGTTTATCCTTGTGAGTTGTAAGTGGCGTGTTGCCTAGCGAAACAGATTGCGTGTCTCAAGAGGGAAGCATCTCCACGTGGTTGCCTTGCGATTTCCCGTTCCTGGTTCCAAATGTCTTGAGGCAAACCTATTTTGACACGTGCCGCGTCCGCATTGAGAACTAGGGGTGGACTGTTCAGATGAAGGGTGTTCATTAGCAGCTCTGTTTAACCCATCGCCATCCATCTTTCTACTTTGCCAGTTCGTTTGCCAGTATGAAGGCTGCCTGCAAACGATGGGAAGAACGACTAGAGTTCCCCCCAGCTTTGGCGCTGGAGTTGACGGACCTGGCTCTTGCACCTGGCCGCGTGTTGAAGCGGGCCGCCCCGCTTTGAGGCAGTTTGACTAGAACCCATTCAGAGATGCGTCGTTTTGCTCAAGTGCCGAGCAGGAAGAGAGAGGTTCAAGGCAGGCACAACGAAACGGGGAACCCAGAATGCAGATCATTAGCGACCCACCCTGGAGGGGTCCATCTAATTTTGAGACACACCCGCGTGGTGCAATATGTTTGTTTAAAGTTATTCCCATATCCCCTCCTGACGTGCCCTCAGTCCCATGTCGTGGTTTGTTTTTTTCATGGCGTTGGGATGAAATGCCGTGGTTGCCCTTGGGGGAGCCTGCCGGACGCCCCTTCCGAACTTCTCGGAGGCTGCTGACGTGCAGCTTTGCGGCTGCCGGGGGCTGACCACCTGAGCCACTCGGTAGAACATGCTTGAATTGGCTGGGAGTTTTAATAGGAACCCCTCAAAACCCCTTCAAAAGTGGTTGCTGGACATAAATCCCCACCAAAATCAGCCAAAGGGTTCCATATTCAGCATCATACCTAATTCAGGCTGGTTGAAACTCCCAAGAATTAAAGTGCTTGGATAGCGGCGCCGCGCGACCCGCTGCGAACTCCCAAACAAATCCTGATGCTGCTCCCGGCCGGTTTTGGAGCACTGTGATTCGTAGTGCTCTTGGCAGCACATCAGCAACACACCGCGGACCAACCTACAAGCCACCGGCGCCAAAAGAGCAGTCGTTTGAGGGCGCCATGTTGGCAACCAAAGCGCAACCGGTTGCAGCTTGATATAGGAAGGGTTGGCTCTTTTCTGAAAAAGAAGAATTTCTGGAACGACTTGCGGAGGCTTCTCGAGTTCTGCGGCGGCCCCAAGCGGCCCTTTAGTCGCCCAGTTCGCCGCGGTCCTCGGCCGCATGCCTGGAGCCCCGACAGACTCAGCTTGGGAAGGAGGTTGCGGGGGCAGGGGCAGAGGGGTCAGCGGGGATGCGAGGAAGTGCCCCTCTCGGGTGATCCCTTTGGTTTTGGGTCAACTTGAGAATTGATTCTTGATAAAAGTCGAGAAATCGCCAGGCAGGCGAAGACACAGGGCCAGTCGCAGCAATTGGGCAGTCGCTTTTGGTCGGCAGGTGTCAAGTTGCCCGCCTCACCGCCCCAAGGCAGCAGTTCGTGCTCGCTCCTTTGCGCTCTCGGAAGGCGCGTGAGCTGTCGTTTGAGGCGAGGCGAAGGGCTGTTTCGGGGACGCAACAAGGGCGTGTTTCGGAGACCTGCCTTGATTTGAGTCGGCGTTTGTGGGCACCCTGCCCCAAGTCAAGGCTGTCCGCTGCTGAAGGCTACAAAGACTTGCATGGCCCTCCAAGCGAGATTCAGATACGGACAAGGCCGCTCAGTGGCATTTCCTTTTCCAGCACAAGAGGTGCCGGTCGAACGTGGGTTTGCTCACCTCAAAAATAAGTTTCTGAAGTTTGCACATTTCGGAGAAAGATCATTTTAAGGGGGAAACAAACAGGTAGTTTTGACTTCTCCGGGCTGAATCCATTCAGGAAGAAAGTATGATGCGAGATAACTTATGTAAGACTGTAAGAGAATCTGATCAACGGAGCCCCGGACGGGGCTGTTCCAGGTCCTGCCTTGCGTTCATGCTTTAAACCGTGTTTTGTCACATGCCCCACATCACAGGAAGGCTTGCCGAGGCTTTTTTAAGCTGCCAAGCGCAATTCTACTAGGAAGCAGCAAGCAGGCCAAGAGACGACCAGCAATTGTAGCATTCTTTAACAACCACATCTCTGCATGCAGACTAGGGCGACACCAAATCAACCAAGACGTTCAAGTTGTTGGACAGGGCGCAACAGCAACCGCCAATAGTTCCCCCAACAAAGGAGAGCCATCAGGTTTTGGCAGTCAAGAGAGGGCAACGGATGACGCCCTCCTCTCTCTCCTGTTCTGTTAGCTGAGTCTTGGGGCAGCCCATAGCCGCCATGGCCGGCATGGCCGCCGTGGCTGCCGCGGCCGCTATGGCCAACCTGCCGCACGCGGCTCTCCGCGCCGCGGCGGAGGCGGGAGGTTTGGCGAGGTTTCCGGGCGGGAATATTATTTTTGTTAAATCGCATGTCTTTGTTGTCGCGTGCTGTGGCTTGATTTGTGAGAACATGTCGGGAGGCACCTGAGGGGATGGATTTCTGGGACATGCTTTTGGAACCGAGGAGACCGTGGCGAGCTGGGACGCGGAGGTGCGCCACATCTTCCGCGACATGGCCGGCGCGGCCCAAAACGCCGCCGGCTCGGAGCCCGAAGAGCAGCTGCACGCGGCGGGCCGGTTGCGGCAGGGGGCGCTGTGCGTCCTGGAGATTCTGCAGGCGCCGAGCTGCGTCGACCTCGACGTCCGGGACATGTACGGGCTGGACGCCGCGCGTCTGCTGGAGGCCATGGCGGCGGAGCTGCAGGCTGCACAGGCGGCAGCGGGTGCTGCCCAGATCCTTGCAGCCCGCAGGGCGCTGCAAGCTGCCCGCAGAATCGAGGAGTTTCACTATGCCCAGGCGAATGTGCCCTCCACACTGGTGGCTGCAGCTGGGAGGTTGCGCCCTTTTTACATTACGGGTGAAGGAAGTGAAGCGCCTGAGTCTGCCCAGTCCAATGATTTTGTGGCACCCACGCTGGAGTCTGGGACGACGCTGGATGCGGCCGCCACGTCCTCATGGCTGGCTGGCCTTCCACATCTGCCTCAAGAGCCAGATAAGCATGTGCCCCAAAGGGCTTTTTGGTGGCTGCTAGAGAGGCAGTGTCAACAGCTCGAGCAGCAGGGCGATCTCCCCGGAGCTGCAGCGCTCTTGGAGGCAGCCCGTACAGCACTGCAGCCAGGTCACCCGGATTTTGATGATCGAGACGTCGCCGATATCTTGCACGAGCTCGGCATGTTGCTGCACGCGTTGCCAAATCAGAACATGGTTCTGGCACAACGCTGGAGAAATTGTTTTATGGCTGGAATGGTTGGACTGGCCTTGGGGTGTTTTGGCACTTTTGCAACAATTCGGCTTCTCCGACATTGAGAGACACGGGGGCTGCTGCCTCACGAATGTGCTGCAAATTTGTGTAGAGTGGCAATGAGCGGAACACCAGCGGGCAGTTTGCGGAGTTCAGTTTCACGTGTCGCGATGGAGCGATGGGCTTGCTGAAATTCGGTCTCCTTGGCATGAAAGGAAGCCACGACAAGCCAGCATGGATTTCGGTGTTCCTTTTGGAAATCCTTGAAAAGGTCATCAGCAAACGGGTACCTGGATCCGCAAAGTTCCGTTAAACATGGGTTCTCGACCTCAAATCATGGGGTGAACTGCCTTCTTTACTGTAAGGGTATAGTCTGAGGGTCCAGGTACCCTCAAAGGACAAGAGTCCAGAAACATGGGTTATTACCCTCAAACAAATGGACACCTTTCTACTTGCAGGGGGGGAGTGTTTGCCCAAATCCGCTGGGCCCTCTCGGAGGCCGGGCTGAGACTTTTTTGGGTGCGGGGCGGGGATGAACATCCCGCAGCTTTTTGCCTCTTGAGGTTTTTGGGGTTGAAGCCTGCATAGAGGGGCCCAAACTTGAAAAGTATTCTGGTTGTCACAACAAAGAGGAGGTCGCTTCCTGTTTGGAAGAGATTGGGGGGAGAGTGGCGGATTGTGATTTTGTCCTGGCTTGCCCTTGCAAGCTGGCCAAGATGGGTTTATTGCACGCTTAAATTCTGTGGGCTGGCTTTTCTGGCTATTGCTCTGCCAAAAGGCAACTAACAGGGGATGGCTCATTTTTATTTTTTCCAGCCCCCCCAATCAAGACCCAGTTTGTAAATCAACCCAAACCAGAGGTTTCCAGGTCGGGTTTTCTACAGGTGTTGTGTGTGTGGCCCACAAGGTTGAGCAACCAAAATGCCACGTGGACTCCCCCTGAGCCACAAATGACACATGCATTTTGGTGTTGGACAACTACACATTCGCAGCAAGCATATGAACATTTGCTTGGCCAAAGGCTGTACGGCAACTAACACTCCAACGGCCAAATGCAGCCGAATCATTCCAACATATGGCCAACCAAACGAACAACGAAAGTAGGCAGGCTACATCATCTATGGCAAGCAAGGCCCTAGGGTTCAGTCAGCGCCGCCATTAAAACAAAGGTTCATAAAACCACCATAGTTTACCTAGATATTGTCGTCATATGAATTGGGCCCTTGGTTGCCATTCTTTAAATGGGGGCAAGGCAAGTTGAAT